GGTCCTTGTGCCCCTGCACCCACGTGGGAGACCTGGAAGAGGCTCCTGGCATCAGATTGTTCCAGCTCTGGCCATTGAGACCAATTGGAGAGTGAACCAGCAGATGGAAGTCTTTTCTCTACCTCTGCCTCTCCTCTCTCTGTGTAAGTTTGAATTTCAAATAAATAAATAAATCTTAAAAAAAATCATTGATCCCGTGAAAGATAATCCTGTTGAAGAAGTTTCAGTTTTGAGCTAATTGATTTTGAAGCAATCAAGAATACAGATTCCATAACAAGTCCGATTTCACTTTTGGTAGCCCAGTGTCATGAAATGAAACCAAACCTTGGCACCATTGCAGAATATAAAAAGAAGGAAGAATTATATTTGTAAAGGGTAGCAGAATTGGACAAAATTACTTATGAAAGAGATAATTTTAGACAAGCAAAGGAAGATCTGTGGAAACACAGGCTGAATGAATTTATGGCAGACTGTTATATAGTAACAAATACAAGAGAATTACCAGATGCTTATCTTGGGAGGGGAAGCTGAACTGGAGCTTAGAGACAGCTTGGATCTTTTCTCTGAAGGAATCCTGTGCAGTGTTCCACCATCTAAGGAAAGTTGGAAGATCTTCAAGCATTCAGCAGGAGAGAAAACACTTCGTTCCTTGGCTTTAGAGTTTGCTCTCCATCATTACAAACCCACTCCCCTTTACTTCATGGATGAAACTGATGCAGCCTTTGATTTTAAAAATGTGTCCATTGTTGCATTGTATATATGTGAACAAAAATGCCCAGTTCATCATAATTTCTCTTTGAAACCACATGTTTGAGATTTTGGATAGACTTATTGGAATTTAGAAGACATAAAATATAACAAAAAGTGTTGCTGTCAACCTAAAAGAAATTGTATCTAAAGGACTGTGTTGAATTGGTTCATACTGAAGACTCCCAATTAAGTTGGGATACATGTAGTGTATTATATTGATTATCTAATTGTAATGAATTATATAAAAATACATATTCCTAAACTGATTCACACATTTGGTTTCTATTTTACTCTGTTAATTAAAAGTCAAAGTCTAATAAAATATTCTCTGTACATGCAAAAAAATTAACAAAACTAGCAACACTAAGGAGTTCTTATACATCCTTCTGTCAATTCTATCCTAAATAAGTTTTGACTTTATTGCCACTCTCCACATTTTGTATATATGAAGACATAGAATTTCAACAGTATATTTATCCTGAAAATTCATAGGCATGTAAGTAGCAAGATTTCTAATCCAGAAAGCGATTGTTTGCTAATATGAATTAACCAATAGTTTGAATATTTAAGTGCTTATAAAGTATTTGAAAGAAAAAGTCAATCAACCTAAATGGGAACTTGGCTTAGCAGTTAAGATGCTATTTGGGATGCATGCATCCCTTGTGGGAGTGCCTGGGTTCAAGACTGCACTCATCCCATGTGGGAGTGCCTGGGTTCAAGCCTGCATTCATCCCATGTGGGAGTGCCTGGGTTCTGCTCTCGATTCTAGCTCTCTGATACCATCCCTCTTGGGAGGCAGTAGCTGAGAGTTGAAGAGTTGGGTCTCTGCCACCCTAGTGGGAGACCAGGATTGGGTTCCCAGCTCATGGCTTTAGCTCAGCCCAGCCTCAGCTGTTGTGGGTATTTTGGGAGCTCTCTCTGTCTCTCAAATAAAATAAATTCTGTCTCTAAGGAAATGCTGGTTCCTCCAGACCTGCCCATCAGCTGTACTAAGCTGGAGACAGCAAGCACAGCTCCCCGAGACTCTTAAATCCAACCACGGACTCTCTGAAGTGGATCTGAACGTGCATTTGGTTTTAATAATATGCTCAGGTAAACGTGAACTAAAGAGCATGTTCAAGGATCTTGGGACCATTTTGAAGGCCAAAGCCAGCTTCTGGTCAGTGGGAAAGCACCCAGTGCTGTATGGAGCCAAAGCTCAGCACACATCCTCACTACTGTAGCAGAATATGTGAGCATTTCTGAGAATGGAGGGCATCAGGACTGGGGCAGGTTCCCGAGGAGCACAATTCCCTGGATCTCTCTATGGGAATATCTGAGTGGACAGGGGCCTTTTCTGCATTCCAGGAGCTGCCAGGTACAGAGACACCCTGGTGTGTCTGGTAGGAGAGGTTGTTCTTTGGTATCCAACACTCAGGGATGGAGATAAACACGGCTCCTATCACGTCCCCAGGGTCTGTTGGTATGCTTTTCAAATAATGATTTCCTTATTTTATATGCTTTGAAGAGTCTTTTTTTTTTTTAAAGGATCATTTATTTGAAAGGCAGAGTTAGAGAGAGAAAGAGAGAGTGGGAGAGGGAGAGAGAGAGAAAGGGAATCTTCTATCTGCTGGTTCATTCCCTAAATGGCTGCAATGGCTAGGGCTGGGGCAGGCCAAAGCCAGGAGGCGAGGAGCTTCTCCCTGGTCTCCTACGTGGGTGCAGCACTTGGGCCAACGTGCTTTACATCTGAAGTCCTCCTTTCATGTTCCTTCTTCCTTACATGAAAACATTGCAAGAAATAATCATCAGCAATCCTATTTTGGATATATTGCAATGTTGAAACACCATAGATAATTCACAGCACATTTATTTGTTTTTTTTTTTTTTTTTTTTTTTTTTTTTTTTTTTTTTTTTTTTTAATCCAGAAGAGTTGTGCTGGGGACTATGCCCCGTCCCGCTGATACAGATCCTGAATGGAGTCATCAGGAATGGCACAGACAGCACATTTATTTGTAAGATACTAGCATAAAGCTAATTAAGTACCAGTTTGCTCTCCAGATGGAGTATTCTGCATCATGTTGACATGCAGCCCCTTTTTATGCAATTCAGATATCACATGGCGCTCCATGGTGGTGCATCCCAACATTCTTTGGAAAATTACTTAACTTCCATCCTCTGGTGTACACCCCTGATGGCCACAACAATCAGGGTTGGGCCAGGCCAAAGCCAAAAGCCAGGGTGCCAAAGGCCCAAATCCTTGGGCCATTTTACACTGCTGTTCTGAGGCCATTAGCAGGGTGTGGATCTGAAGTGGAGCAGCTGGGAGCTGAACTGGCACCCATATGGAATGCTGATGTTGCAGTTGGCAGCTCTATCTGCTATGTCAAAAAGCCATCTTGAAACCTTTTTCTTTAATTAAAAAAGGTATATAGCATATCCATTCCTATTTTATAAAACACTATGTTATGATGATGGTGCTTCTTTTATTCTATAGAGTAAGTCATTAAAAAAAGGACTAGGCCAGTGCCGCGGCTCACTAGGCTAATCCTCCACCTTGTGGCGCCGGCACACTGGGTTCTAGTCCCGATCGGGGCGCCGCATTCTGTTCCAGTTGCCCCTCTTCCAGGCCAGCTCTCTGCTGTGGCCCGGGAGTGCAGTGGAGGATGGCCCAAGTGCTTGGGCCCTGCACCCCATGGGAGACCAGAAGTACCTGGTTCCTGCCATGGGATCAGCGCGGTGTGCCGGCCACAGTGCACTGGCCGTGGCGGCCATTGGAGGGTGAACCAACCACAAAAAGGAAGACCTTTCTCTTTGTCCCTCTCACTGTCCACTCTGCCTGTCCAAAAAAAAAAAAAAAATTGACTATCACATGTAAATAGTGATAATTCCTTTTACGAGCCATCCTGAAATATAAGTAAAACTGTGGTGACAATAATAAAATACAAAGAGTTAACAAAATAGAGGGATGCCTTTATGATCAAATTTCCAAGTTAGAAGCATATTTAGGAAAATAATAAACATAATATCATAAGTTCATAATATCATTAGTTCAGAGAGAAAACTGACCATTTTGTTTTTTTATTCATTTTTAAAAAGATTTATTTATTTATTTGAACCTCAGAATTACACAGAGAAGGAGATGCAGAGAGAGAGAGAGTGAGAGTGAGAGCGAGAGCGAGAGAGAGAGAGAGAGAGAGGTCTTCATTCACTTGTTCACTCCTCAGATGGCTGTAATGTCTGGAGCTGCACCAATTTGAAGCCAGGAGCCAGAAGATTCCTCTGGGTATTCCCATGTGGGTGGCAGGGACCCAAGAACTTGAGCCATCTTCCTCTGCTTTCCCAGGCCATAGCAGAGAGCTGGATTGGAAGTGGAGCAGCCAGGACTTGATCCGGTGCCCAGATGGGATGCCCGCACTGCAGCAGGCAGCTTTCTCTACTAAGCCACAGCGCTGGCCCCAAAACTGACCATTTTAACTTCCAATCAAGGCCCTATGTCAGGGCCAGCATTGTGGCTCAGCAGGGTTATGCCACCATATTCAATGCTGACATCTCATGTGAGCACTGGTTTGAGTCCCAGCTGCTCCATTTCCTATCCAGTTCCTGAGTAAGGTGCTTGGGAAAGCAGCAGAAGATGGTCCAAATGCTTGGGCCCCTGCACCCACGTGGGAGACCCGGATGGAGTTCCAACCTCCTGGCTATGGACTGGTGCAGTCCCAGCTGTTGCAGCCATTGGGAGTGCATGGAAGATCCCTCTCTCTCTGTAACTCTGCCTGTCAAATAGGTAAATAAATCTTTAAAAAAGGAAAAGTTATGGCAGAAAGAACAGGAATACTGAACAAATGGCAAGAGGTGCACACAGTAATTAGAGAAATCCAATCTCAATTATATCAGGTGTTATTTTAAAACAAGGAGACTATTCCTGTTAAACATTGTTTGACTATACTTAGTTAGTGTTAAATATATACCTAAAATATAAGGCTTAAAGTAGAAAAATGAAAAATCAATTTCATGTGACTTATTCAATTAATTAATGACTGTATAAGTATCAAATAAAAGAGGCCATAGATTTAAAGCAGTTTATTATTGTGACTAATATTTTTATATTTCTAAGTATATATTATCCTACTATGATTGCTTGATAACAAATGTAATCTAATAGTGTGTATTACACCCTATATACATACACACATGTGTGTAAGCATGAGTACAGGGTCTTGTAATATGGCTACCAAATAACTGTGCCTATAGTACTGTACAACAAGTGAGTATTATAAAGCAAATACAAGGTACATGTTTCTGATAATGTTGGGGGATTTTGTATTCCTTATCGAGGCAAAGAAGAGCCTGGGTACCCTGGAGTCACAGCTCATGAGAAGATAGGGGCTAAGAGTTGGGAAACAGCCAGCAAATAATGCAGAGATGTTCACTGTTAATTGACTGGGCTTACTAAGAAGAGCCAAATACACTTGGAAAGTGGAGGAGACCATGTAAAAAAATACAAATGTGCTCACCAGAGCAAGGATGCTCCGAGTAGCTCTGGATTCAGGGGAAGTCCTGGGGGAAGCATTCCTGGGACCATGAATGTGCTGCACCTGCTGCTTGTGTCTGTGCAGGATGAACACCATGTAGCTGCTGGCCAGGAGCATGAGCCCCAAGGACACAGCATCAGGCAATAATAGTAGTGCCAAGAACAGCGATCCTGTGAAGGTGTCTTGGAAGACAGCGTTACAGTACCCATAGTCTTTTCTCTTTGTGATGCTTGTGTTGATCCACTTACTAGTCACATAGATGGGGGAAATGGTGTTTATTAACATGGTCAGGATCCAGCACAGCATGGAGGAGAGGCCTATGTACCTGGGAGCTTTGACTTTAAGCTCTGCCCACCTAGAGTTCCTGGGGCTGATGCTGTCCCAGCACGGCACTCTCACACTTGTGAGTACACGTATGAGCTCAGCAAGCACTGCGTTCGTGCACGTGCACACGCTGCCTTCCAGCGGCAGGCTGATTCAGACAGTGCTGCCGCCTTCTGTGTCCTGTAACTGTGACCGGGTCAGCAATAATGCAGTTTTCAGGATGGCTATCAGAGTTTTAAAATCACAGAGAGAAGCCCTCAAGACCTAGTGCTAGCTAGAGCGTGGCCGTGAGTTCAGGTCACAGGCACCTACGCAGATAGAAGAGAAGCCATCCAAGACTCCACCATAGAGCAGTGGCAGAGGGACAGGAGCGTGGGTTTCCTGATGTGGTCCAAGTACATGGTAAGGTATTGAAAAGTCTCACTGGACCCCAGAAATATCCAGCATTACAGTTAGTTGCATTTTGAAAACGTTTCACAAAGTATGGAAAACACAAAGAAAATGCTTGAAAAGAATGTGTGTGTGTGTGTGTGTGTGTGTGAAGAGAGTTGGGTCTCAGGGGCTCGGGTGTGTTGCTCCTGCATTCTCTAGCTCAGTGCTACAGGTAATGGGCGTAGGCAACCCCACGCGGGCACTGACAGGGCCCCGCCATCCTGCAGGATCCCAACTTCCTAGAACAGGGCCCGCAGCACTTGTGTGCAGGCGAGGCTTGAGAGGCAGCCATTAGCCGAGTGGTTCTGGACCAAGACTGCCCAGTGGGATCACAGGGCCAGGTCTGAGAGAAGAGCTCACCCACGGCTTCTCCCACAGCCTCTACTGCACTGACCTGGGTGGGAGCCTCGGTGCTGTCCTCCTGCAGTGCCCGGGTCCTACTCAGGGTCACGCATGAGGGTTCTCGGGGCACCGACTCCCCCCTGCATGGGTGGCTGGGAGTGGGTCAGCACCGTCCAGATCCCCACTGTGGGGGCAGATGCTGTTTGTGGTAGAGACCGGCACCTGCAGGAAGGAGAGGAGGAACTACAATTTTGTTCTCGGTGTAGGAGCACCTGTTCCTGAATCTCTACAGTGCCAAGGCACAGGGGAGGGTGGCCTTTGTTCCCCTTCAGAATCCTTCTGCCTGTGGGTGTGCTGACACCATGAAAGGCAGTGGGACAGCTGGAGGGCATCTTGGCAGAGAGAACTGGAGACAGAAGAAAGGGCCGCATGTCAGGTCCCTGTGGCCCAGGTCAGAGGCTGTGCCCTCTTTTCTTCCTCTTGTGCCTGGCATTTTGCCTTTGCAAACATCACATCTCCCCTTCTCACATTCCTGCCTTCTGAGTGCGCTTCAAAGGATGAGTTTTCCCTTTTCTTCTGTGACCGTCAGGTGAGCTCTTTCAAATACTTCTCTCCTATATTCCAGAACCTTCTCTTCCTCCTGGCTTTTTCTCTTTCTTTTCATTTCTCTTTTGTTTTACTTTCCTTTCTTTTCTTTTCTCTTTTCTCTTTTCCATGAACAGTTCTCACCATGAGTTGATGACCTGTGATGTTGAAAATGGTCCCTTCATGGTGGATGCCCATGGGAAAGCAGGGATACCTGACTCCTATCAGGGCTGAGGTCAGGTCCTGGATATCAGTGTAGACGATGATTGTATAGTGCTCAGGCTCCATCTGTGTGCTCCACAGATCTGTGCAGAAATGCACACTGGAACAAGATGGGATTCCTCACCAAGGATAACTCAGAAACTCTGTAAGGGAATCAGAAGAGACCTGCTCCCTGGGACGCTAAAGACAGACTTAATATTCTCTGTTCAAGGGTCCATTGCTGTGGCATAGTGGGTAAAGCCACTGCCTTCAGTGCCTGCATCCCAGAGGGAAGCCAGTTCGAGTCCCGGCTGCTCCACTTCTGATCCAGCTCTCTGCTATGGCCTGGGAAAACCGTCGAAGATGGCCCAAGACCTTAGGCCCCTGCACCCATGTGGGAGATGTGGGAGACCTGGAAGAAGCTCCTGGCTCCTGGCTCCAGATTGGCCCAGCTCCAGTCATTGTGGCCAATGGGGAGTGAAACAGTAGATGGAAGACCTCTCTCTGTCTCTCTCTGCCTCTCCTTCTCTCTCTGTGTAACTCTTTCAAATAAATACATCTTAAAAATATATTTTGAGACTACAGAACCTGGTAGAGGTGTGTTTCAAAGCTTGTATAGAACCTACGTCTTTCACGATTCGATTCAGATTAAGCTTTACCTGCTTTTGGTCCACAGTATCACAGCAAGGGGATGTGCATCAGCACCTGCCACTGATTTGTGCTGGGACAGCTGACATTAGCTTCAGTCACCTGGTCTAGGACTCTGCCCGCTTCCTCCAAGAGGGACATTTTTCTGCATACAATGAAAGCATATCTTGGGGTGACTGACTTAGTATACATCACAACCTATAGTGCGAGTTTTCCCTTTTTAGGTTCTCTTTGCTCATAGCTTGCCTTGGGGGATGAAGGCTCTCATCTTTGCTGCCTATCAGCTGCCACAGTTGGGAGGGGCTGAAACACTGTGACCTCTTGCTGGGGTTTGCATTTCACTGTGCTCTGGTCACAGGTGAGCTCCTCATCCTGCTATTTCGAAAACAAGAAACAAGAACCAGGTAATTAGGCTGTGCCCAGGTGTCTTTATATTGTAAGATATAACACAGGCACAGATGATAAATGGAAGACAATGATAAATGGAAGAGAATACATCGAACTTGGAGGCAATAGCTCTGATTTTCTATCATGTGTGTTCATCTCCACGGTGTGTTGTAAAGAACCCCAAATCATCCTCTGGAATCTGTCCTTTTCACACAGTTAAAAATGCTGAGAGAGCTTTGATGACAGGGACCAAATTGCAGGTGGCAGGAGTGAGCTCTTAGTGGGCAGCACAGTGGGATGACTGCAGGAACAACAGAGGGGGAAATGTAGGTTACCTTATTTGACCCCTGCATACTGTAAACCTGCATTGCAGTGTTACATTGTCTCTTAAAAATATATTTTTAGTAGCAATACAATTTTCAAAAAGATTTATTTTGGAGTTATGGTTACAGGGAGAGGAAGAGACAGAGAGAAAGATCTTCCATCTGCTGGTTCACTTCCCAAAAGACCGGTCTTAAGTCAGGAGCCAGGAGCTCCATTCAGGTCTGCCATGTGGATGCAGGGGCCCAAGCCCTTGGCCATCTTCCACTGCTTTCCCAGACATATTAGCGGGGAGCTAGACTGAAGTGGAGCAGCTGGGACTCGAATCAGCTCCCATATGGGATGCCAGCACCACAGGCAGAGGGTTAAGCTACTATGCCCCGGCGCCGGCTCCTAATACAAATTTTACAAAATGTTTTTCTAGAAAGTATGGTGAAGGAAATACATTTGGAAAAACAATGTCCTAGTTGTATTGACAGGAAACTATTCTGCATCATTTGGATGTGAGTAAGTACATGTTGTTTTTATGTGTGTGCTCATCAAAGGTGAAAGTTATTTGAACAACTTTGTGGGTTGCCTTCCTAACTTGCCTCTATCATTCTTCTCAGGTATGGAACTCCTTCGAACATTCTTTCAGGGTTTGCTCTGTGCATTGGCCTGGATGTTTCTCTTCTATAAATCCTAGATCAGATCAATGCAGGCTCGGCTTTCACTGAATGCCTGCTAAGATAGGCTCATAAATGCGGATGACAGTGTTCTTGCTCTCCTCGCTGTTGTCTTCCCTTGTGTGTATTAGTAATGAAAATCTGGTAGGAGGGCATCTACAACACGGACATCCAAACCATTGCTGCTGTGATTCCTGCTTTCCATCAGATTATAGATTCCATAGCATTTTTTTTCAATTCCAAACCCACAATTTTCTTGTCTTTTTATCTTTTGTTAATTTTTTAAAGATTTATTTATTTGAAAGGCAGAGTTACAGAGAGAGAGAGAGAGAGAGAGAGAGAGAGATCTTTCATCCCCTGGTTCACTCCACAAATGGCCACAACAGCCAGAGCTGAGCCGACACAAAGCCAGGAGCCAGGAGCTTCTTCCAGGTTTTCCATGCGGACTGGAACTGATGCCACTGCAGGTGGCGGCTTTACCCAGGATGCCATAGCACCGGCCCTGATTTTAAAATATTTCAAATATACACTAAGTATAAAAAAGGGTTCAATGACCACACCTCAGTTTAACAATTTGGCCTTATTCTCCCATTATGCAAGCATCATACAAGCACATACTATTTCTTGATAGCAAGTGTGTGTGTGTACACGTTTTCTCTCATGATTGGAAACTGAGAAGTGAAATGTGTGGATGTCATATTATTCTGAACGCTGGCTCTTACATAGCAATAAAGCATACTTTTCAGGTGTGCTGATCTTGTCTGGGACCTCCCTCACTCCCTCTTTCTTATGTTATAATGTGTGGCCCTGGAGCTGAGACATCGTCTTCAGAGGTGTACTCAATTGGGTTTGGAATAACTTGGGGGTCTGGCCTTTCCTAACCTCAGAAAGGAGGTGGAAAAAGGACACAGAGAGCGAGCTCAGCAGAGACAAGTTGCTCTATTGAAGCAAATCTCGGAAGAGACTGTGCATCTAGAGCTGAGCTGTTATCTGGTTTCGGAGGGAATTTGCCAATCCTGGGTGGGGTGGGGAGAGGTGGAAGGCAGCTGGTGGGAGAGCAGGGGCTCTTTGAAGCCTCTGGGAACTTCCCTCTCATCTGTTTCACAAGCTTCCCCGTGCAGCTTATCTGTTTACCAGTTGCATTGCAAGGAGTCTAGAATGGTCTGGTTTGGCACCAAAGGTCTCAGCTAAAGGGAAGAAATGGGGTTGGGGAAGAGGGAATGGGTCACGCGTGGGGCAAGAAGACCTTTTATGCTTGCTGCTCAGAAGTGCAGAGACTCAGCGTCCACCCCCGATCTCCTTGCATCAGGATCTGCACGTTAACAGCGTTTGCATTTTGATACAACCTAGATTTTAAATTCCTAAAATCTGAGATGGACCCTTATAAGTCTTCGTGATCTTTCCATCCATGAAAGCAAGGAGTCTCGTGTTCCCCTGTGTGCTACACACACATCACGGATCCATCTACTGGTGCAGTGGTCTACGTGTTGCTGTCCATTAAACGCTAGTATCTGCCCTGGTTCTGTGGACTTATGTCAACCCCATGTCATAACCATGAGTACCCGACTGAGTCACTCAGCTACGTCAGTGCCCACTCCTGCCTCTCCCACTGCATCTAGAGTCAAGAACTCTCCACACGGCTGTTTAGTCTGCTATGATGATGCTTTGAATTTCAGGGACATTTATGTTCAGAGCCACAGGTTTCTGTGGGAGGCGCTGGGCTGCCTGGACCCTGCTCAGAGGGCTTTGTACAGGGACATGGTGCTGGAGCACCACAGGACCCTGCCTTCCCTCCCCGAATTCCTAACCCAGAGCATTCCATCTGCTTCTACAGCATTTTGTGGAAGCCTCTGCTTTTCATGACTGGGTCTCAGGCCTCTGTTTTGAAGAAAAATGGAGGGACTCTTGGTGTAGAAAAGCAAAATGTCTTTTAAAGATTTACTTGATCGGGGCTGGTGCTGTGGCATAGGGAATAAAGCCGCCACCTGCAGTGCCAACATCCCATATGTGTGCGGGTTTAAGTCCTGGCTTTTCCACTTAAGATCCAGCTCTCTGCTATGGCCTGGGAAAGCTGTAGAAGCTGGCTGAAGTCCTTGGGCCCCTGCACCTGAGTAGGAGACCTGCAAGAAGCTCGTGGCTCCTGTCTCAGGATCAGTGCAGCTTGGGCTGTTGCGGCCATCTAGGGAGTTAACCAGCAGATGGAAGACCTCTCTCTCTGCCTCTCCTTCTCTCTCTGTTGAATTCTGACTTTCAATTAAATAAATAAATCTTAAAAAAAGATTAACTTTATCTATTTGAAAGGCAGAGGTAGAGAGAGAGGGAGAGACAGAGGCAGAGACACATCTTTCATGTGCTGGTTCACTCCCCAGACAGCTGTTAATGGCTGGGGCCGAAGCCAGGAGCCAGGAGCTTCTTCCAGGTCTCCCACATGGTTGTAGGGGTCCAAGTACTTGATCCATTCTCTGCTGCTTTCCCAGGTGTATTAGCAGGAGCAGGATTGGAAGTGGAGCAGCTAGGCCATGAAGCAGCACCCCTATGGGATGCCGGTATGGCAGGTGGCAGCTTAACTCAATTAGCCATGATGCTGGCCCCAGAACTCAATTTCTTGAGCTGTCACCATGGGCTGCATTAATAGGAAGCTGCAGTCAGAAGCCAGAGCTAGGAGCCAGCTCCAGGGACTCGTGGGAGGCTGGCAGCTTAAATGTTAGGCCAAATGGCTGCCCCAGGCATTTTATTTTAACCTTCCCCTTTGTGGGCACTGAGACTCCCTCCCTCCACACTGGGGATCATTTTAGAAGTTCCCTGGCATGAAGGGTCATGGCCCACATGTGAGAGTGCAGTCTCCATGCTCTGATTCGCATTTGGATGCAGTTCCGTGTGGAGCCTGGCTCTGCACGCTGGGCGGGCTTCTTAGTGCTCTGAGGGGTCTTGGCAGCAGCAGCACCCAGGGAAGAAGACCCTAGAATCTCTGGTTCCCTTCTCTCCAGTGCGGGAGACCCCCAGGGAGAGTGGAGTTTCTTTTGTTCCTAAACAGCCTTGCAGTCCCTAAGGGAGACCTGGTCACCTACCTGGAGCAAAGGTGAAGACAGAGGAGACAGAAGCCAGGCCCCCAGGCAGTGGGAGTGAGGGTGCAAAGGTCAAGAAGCCAGACCTGGGAATGTGGTTTGCCAGGCTCTGGTGTGTGAAGCCTGGTCCATTGTTCCTGCTGTTGCAGAGAGACAGCTCATTCCCTGTGGTTATCACACTCTTCCATCAGCCTAGGCAGCTCCTCCCTCCAGCCACCTTCCAGAAGGTTCTCAGGGAGAGGGCATGGGCCCCCCTTCACCAGAGTGGGTCTGCTCTTGCCTGCTTCAGGGGGCCTGAGGAAGTCAGTGTGCCTTTTTACAAGACCTCTTTGTAAAGACAGTGAGTGTTAATTATCTAGGGGCGGGTGCTGTGGTGTAGGGTTAAAGTCCCGGCCTGCAGTGCTGGCATGAGATATGGGCACGAGTTCGAGTCCTGCTGCTCCATTTCTAAGCCAGCTCTCTGCTATGCTCTGGGAAAGCAGTAGAAGATGGCCCCAGTACTTGGGCCCTTGTAACCCCCTGGGAGACCTGGAATAAGCTCCAGGCTCCTGGCTTCCCATTGATCCAGTTCCAGCCATTGCAGGAATTTGGGGAATGAACCAGTGATGGAAGTCTCTCTCTCTCTCTCTCTCTCTCTCTGTCTCTCTGCCTCTGTGACTCCAGCTTTCAAATAAACAAATAAACAAATAATAAATCTTTAAAAACTATAAATCATCTAATGATGTTTCTCTGTATTGTTTGAATTCTGTTTCATTACACTTTTCTCATCAGAGCTGCTTTTGAATGGGAATGCATTTTCTCAGGCCAGTGACTCCCCTGCCTGGTCTTCACAGGTGCTCTGTCACAGCGAAGAACTGGAACCATCTAGAGGAATTCTTTCTTAATTGTACATGGGAACTTATGCCTAATTTTGTGAGTCAACATTTATGTCGTACTTTGAAATCCTCTCTTTGTGGGAGTTTTGTTGTTGTCAGGGTAGATTCCCTTACATCAGTAAGTTATTTGTATGGATTTCAAAAGATGTTTTTTATTTATTGAAAGACAGAGTTAGAGAGAGAGGCAGAGACAGAGAAAGAGGTATTCTATCCATTAGTTCACTCCCCAGAAGACACAATTGCCAGAGCTGGGCCGATATGTAGCCAGGAGCTAGGAGCTTCTTCTGGGTCTCCCACACAGGTGCAGGGTCTCAAGGATTTGGGCCATCTTCTACTGCTTTCCCAGTCTATAGCCCCAGCTTTGAATCAGGCAGCCCCGGGGACCCCCTGTGTCAGGGACTCCCTGTCTCACGGTACCTGGTATCCCCTCCAGCTGTTCTAGCCTGCATCCCTCATCTCTGTTCGGCCACTCCAACTCATCTCCCACCCATCTCCCTCCTCCCTTGACACAGTTCCCTATAAAGTTCCAGCCTTACACATGAGCCCTGAGCTCCTCCCCCTCTGAGGCTGCTCCCGGCAGTTCTTCACCCTAATAAAACTTTCTTTGCTCAGCATGGTCTTGGTTGTCATTCTTGGTTGTGGTTAAAAACCCTGACACCAGCTGCTCCACTTGCAATCCAGCTCTCTGCTATGGCCTGGGAAAGCAGAGGAAGATGGCCTAAGTCCTTGGGCCTCTGCACCTGTGTGGGAGACCTGGACCAAGTTCCTGGCTCCTTGCTTTGGCCATTGCAGCCAATTGGGGAGTGACCCAATGGATGGAAGGCCTCTCTCTGCCTCTCTTCTCTCTGTGCAACTCTGACTTTGAAATAAATAAATAAATTCTTTTTTTTTTTTGACAGGCAGAGTTAGACAGTGAGAGAGAGAGAGACAGAGAGTAGGTCTTCCTTCCGTTGATTCACCCCAGAAATGGCCACCACGGCCAGCATGCTGTGCTGATCCAAAGCCAGGAGCCAGGTGCTTCCTCCTGGTCTCCCAAGCCTGTGCACAGCCCAAGCACTTGGGCCATCCTCCACTGCCTTCCTGGGCCACAGCAGAGAGCTGTACTGGAAGAGGAACAACCAGGGCAGAATCTGGCACCACAACTGGGCATAGAACCTGTGGTGCCGGTGCCACAGGCAGAGGATTACCCTAGTGATGATCTGCATCGCTGGCCAATAAATAAATTCTTAAAAAAAAAAAGCGAGAAACTGCTTTAAATCTAAAAGTGCTGTTCTCACAGGAGTTAAGTAAAAAATGGTGGGTAGCAGAGACTCGGGAGAGTGGAGGGAGGAGGCAGGGGGAAAAGATGGCTTTCAGGTTCTTTATTCATTTTTAAAGATTTATTTATTTATTGGAGAGGTAGATTGACAGATAGAGAGAGGGAGAGACAGTGAGAGAGAGAGAGAGAGAGAGAGAGAGATCTTCATCTTCTGGTTCACTCCTCAAATGGCAGCAGTGGTGGGAAACTGGGCTGATCCATAGACAGGAGCCAGGAGCTTCTTCCGGGTTTTCCATGTGGACTGGATCTGATGCCACTGCATGTGGTGGCTTTACCCAGGATGCCATAGTGCCGGCCCTGATTTTAAAATATTTCAAATAATACACTAAGTATAAAAGAGAGTTCAATGAGCACACCTAAGTTTAACAATTTGGCCTTATTCTCCCATTATGCAAGCATCATACAAGCACATACTGAAGAGTTAAAATTGTATATGTGCGGGTGTAAAAAGTTAAGCTTAAGCTTACAGGTTTAAACCTTCCTGGTACAGCTTTAAAAATAAGACAGAGTGAAGTAGCACCTTGACAGTAGGGACTCCATTTTGGAGCACTTGAGACTCCATTCTGAGAAAGCAACCCCCCGCCCCCACCGTGAGACTCTGGTCCAAAACTATGATCTCAAATAGTCGGACAATAGCAGTGCACTACATCACCCTTGGCAACACACAAAAACCCCCTAGCATGATTGCTCAAGCTTAAAAGTAAAAAGGTTGCACCTGGGTTACCTGGACTAATAATAAAGATATAATTTGTCTATGTCTTAAGATCATAATTGCTGATTGTAAGACTTTAGCAACCGCTTAACAACCGTGTATTCTCTTCCCCTTCCCGGTTTTGCGGTTTTTGCCTTTATAAACTCTAACCTTTGGTTATTCGGGGCTGCTCTGTTCATGATGATCAGACAGCCCCAGCATGCTGGATAATCAATAAAGCTTCCCCTTGCTGTTTGCATAAGAGATGTCTCTTGGTGACGTTTTTCGGGCAGTCGACTCTAACATTTGGAGGTCCCACCGAGACCTGACTGCTGCCTGCAGACGTCTCCAACGGATATCTCTCGGGGTAAGTGCAGGCGCCTATTTGTGTTGTCGGCCGGCTTATTTGTGGTTTGTGTCTCTTCATTCTGGATTTTGGTAGTTTGTGAGCGCTCTAGGGTTTTGGGAACTGTGCTGGTGTAGTAGCTGCTGGGACAGGGCGTGAGCCCTTCCTGGCTGTGGCCGGCAGACGTGCCCGGGGGCCACAGGCTACGGCCCTGAGGGACGCCTCAGGAGGACAAAGGAAGGTTGGGGACGCCCAGATACTTCCGACCAGGGCAGGCGTGGAGTCTGCATTCCCAGCACAGACGGGGTGGCCGGTAAGGCCTTCTTACTATTAGTCTTTTGTAGTTGTAAGGTGCTTTGTTGGTTGTCTTGTTGTTTGTTGATTGTATTCTCTTGTCATTTAGCATTGTATGGGGCGCTGTGATGGCTCCCATTTGGTAGATTTGGAATCTGTGTTTGTATTGCCAGCATTGTCGCGTGACTCTGAAGTGGTTCTGGAGTCTGCATTTGTAGGTTCCGAAGTGGTTCCGGAGCTTGCATTTGTATTACCGGCATCCTCACAGGGCTCTGAGGCGGTTCCAGAGTCTGTGTTTGTATTGCCAGCATCATTGCGACCAGTAGTTTATCTCAATTCCTTTATGGACACTTTGTGTGGTTGTTGTGTGCTGATTCTCTACACTGTTTGTCTGTTCGTGTACATTGTGATGTCTGCTAACATGGGCCAGACTGTGTCTACACCTTTGTCTCTAACTTTGAATCATTGGTCGGAGGTAAGCGACCGGGCACATAACCTTTCTTTGTCAGTCAAGAAGGTAAAGTGGCAGTCTTTCTGTGCCTCTGAATGGCCCCCCGGAGGGCTCTCCATTTACCACTCATTCGCCAAGTGAAAGAGGCCGTTCTCCTCCCTGGCCGTCATGGGCACCCAGACCGGGATTTTGAGAAAACATCAGAGGTCAGTATTCCTTCCCTCAAGCGGGACCGGATCTGTGGAAGTGACCGTTGAGTGTCCGGCACCCCACAGCTCTCCGAGAACGCGGAGTCCCCCCGGCCACGGCTTAGCTACGGCCGAAACTCCAGAGGGATTGTAAGGAATGGGAGGGAAATTAGGAAGGGCAGTTGGCTGAGAGCCTGGAGACCCCCTGAGCTCGCTTTGGCTTCCCGGCGGCCGGACTGCGACCCGAGGACCAGGTCTCTCTCTCGGAGGGACGCCTGGTCACGCTGCCTACTGCTACGCGAGCAGGGCTTAGCTTCGGTCGAGGCTAATATTGACCCTCAGGTAAACTCAGACAACTAGGTAGTGGGTAACCTTGAGCGATAGGAGATTTCATGAGGAGCTTCATTGCTTTCTGCCTTCCTCCTCCTCCCGGGGGCTCCCTCCCCCACTCTTTTGTTCTCCTCACCTCCATTCCTATACCACTGGCCTGGAGAAAGGGAGAGGGAAATTCCACAGGTCTCTCCACCTAGGGAAAAGCTGTTACCTGTTACCTGTTAACCCTTTCCAACCGGGTAAAAAGTTTTCCGTCTTTGCAGCTTATGGTAGCTCTGGTGCGTCTTAAAAGTTTTTTGTGAACTATTACTGTTGCTAAGCTTTGATTGCCTGAGGACTAAATCTGGAAAAGAGCTAAAGTTAACTATCTGTTGTAATTGACTGAGTGTCTGCAGTAGTCCTAATTGATCTGGCTTTGGTTAAATTATAGGAGGTTCCCAACACTCTTGGTAAAACGGCGCACCTACCCAACCCCACGATTAGTACTGCCAGGCCCCGGTGTGTGCAGTCTTCCCTGTAAATGGGGGAACACAGCCTTTCTCTGCACTCCAAATATCTCTAGGCAGAGCCCCCACCCTAGGGCTGCTTCTTTTTCCTCTCCTGGAGGAATTTCCAATTCAATACCACTGCTGACCTTACCTAAGGGAGCCAGAACCTTAAGCCATTAACCCTTTCCAAACTGATGGGTTTTTCTCTTTGCAGTTAATAAAAACCTAAACAATGGGTTCATATACTGATAATCAGCTCTTTTCTGTGCTGCTGTCCCTGACTCATCTGAGAGCGTTCACCTGTCTTGAAGGTTTCGCGTTTTTCTATTGCCATTATGAGTCTTGATTGGAAAAACTACAGCGTGAAGTTTGTTTACATTGTTTATCTGTTTTTAATGTCTAAGTAATTACCCAACTGATCAGAAATGTACTAATTTTGGCTAAATGGTTTGACTCTCTGACAGCTTAAATTCTAAACTGAGTCTTCCAACTTTGGGCTTCCAGTCGGATCCCTGGAACTCTCAAAGGATGAGACTAAATTTGTTAAAGTAACAGCTGCTTGGGTCAATTCAGATTATATAAAATATATTAAAATGTTATAAATAGTGTCAGACCTATGCTGTATTTATGTTTTTGCTTTCCAGCTAAAGCGGTCTTATAAAAATAAGAGTAAAATTCTGTGTATACAAGCCTTTATGTTGTTAACTAAAGTTAAGCCAATGCAGATTGGTTCAGAAAATTGAGGTAATGCAAACGCCCTTAAGTTTGCTCAGTGGCTGACTTGCTCAGTTTTACATGTCTTTGATTTGCTTGTTTCTCTTAATGACGAAGATCTTTTCAAAGCTGTAAACATGCACTAATGTTTGCTGTCCAGGAGGTGTTATCCTCGTGTTACTTAAAAATATAAAAATGTAATTTTAACTTTTATTTCAGATAATGGTGTGGTATTCATTAATAACTCAGTGTCTTAAGTCATCTAGGCATCAGTGCTAAATAAAACTTGGAAAAATATATTATATATACTTTTAACATCTCAAATTCAATAAAAAAAAAACTGTTTGAGTTTATTAACATGTATTCGCATAGGTTGGCCATACATGACAATTCAAGGCTATGTAAAAGTAACTATGAGTATAAAGTTTCAAAAGATGTAAACAAGTCATAAAAAGTTTTAAAATGTTTATAATTTTAAAATATTATTTACAGAGTTAAGTGCTAATGCTAAAATTACACTGACCTAAAGTTAAAGTCTAATCTTCTGTTATAACAATGGGGTTTAAAAAAAAAAAAGTGTACTAATGTTAGTAAATATCTAAAAATGGTCTAAATCATAAATCTTAAAATCTGTTTTTGCAAAAACTGTAACGTCTATTTTAACAGTGTCTGCTTAATCGGTTACTCTGCCATTTCTAGAGTTAGGTCTTGTAAGCTCTTTTTGACTCTGTTAAATAATCCTAAATTATGTAAACTCTTATATACAGGTTTTTTTTTATTATTTCTGGTTTATTCGACAACAAGAGACATAAAATTCATGTTAATCCATTGTGTACTCTACTGTCTCTGTTAAGTTATGGTTATGTGGCAGATGCTAGAAAACTGGGTTCCAGAAACCCAAGAAAGCTCTCGTGTCTACAGGCTACACGGTAAATACCCGGAAGCCAAAGAATGGCAGAGACCTCTGCCACAATTTCTCCTCTAAGTCAGGCTACACAGTAAACACTGGTTAAACTGCCAGTTAAATCTAAAAGCCCAAAAAGTCAGGCTAGAGACCCAACTCGCTGCCTCACTTCTCCTCTTTTCTCTTCCAGAAGGGAAGTTACTACTGTTCTGCAGGACTCTCCATTGTGATGTACGGTTTGATCCCCAGACCTTATGTAAGGGATGACTGACCTTTTCTGTAATAATGCCTGGCCACAGTATAGGGCCCCAAACAACAACAACAACAACAAAAAAAAGGTTAAACTATAAAATAATATGACAACTAGATCAATTTTTCGGTGTAAAAAGTTACACTGACGACCTCAAAGTATGCAAGCAGGTCACCACAGTTGATCTTACCTAAAGGGTCATAGTTCTCCTCATGGGCACGGTCTTAACTCGCAGGAAAATACTAAGTGTCAGAATTTGCCCATGACCATAGTTTTTCTAACTCACCCTGATATTTAAAAAAATCTCCAAAAATCAGGATTGGGTTGAGCACCCCCTTGACTGACATCATAGAGGCTGCCTCCTTGGTCTACTTTATTAGAGACCAGGAAAACGAGGAGCAAGCTAGCAGCAGAGGATAGGCAACAGACCAATCAATGGCTGTTTTACATGGTGATTGCCATCAAGGAGACCCAGCAAGGCCAGTGCACCCCAAACGGCACCTGTTGCTGATATAAGGAGACAGGGCATTGGGCAAGCAGCTGTCATGACAGCAAATGCCTTCTGTCAGCCCTGCCAAGAGCACGGCCACTGGACACGAAACTGCCCTGGGTGTCGAAGGACTCCTGGTTCAGAACCGCTGACCCTGTGGCCCCGAGCTAAAAAGCCTTTGGCTCTGCCCAGCCTCTGCCCAGCTTCCAGCTCCAGCCACTGCTATTGAGGGGATGGCCTAGGGTCAGTGACATGCAAGTTGCCTATTTCCATCAGCCTCCTATTCAGCTCTCCTCCTAGTCCATCCATGTAATGCAAGTCAACAGGGTGCCTCCCTTAAAGGAGATTTGCATCTCTTTCAATTCTCTTCCAGCACCCCATGGACAGGTCTGGGCCTCACACACCCAGCCAGGCCTTAAAAGTCTATCCAATAACATTAAGCTTAGAAAGCCCTCCCTGCCAGTTCCTAAAAACAGGGCTTTCAGTAACAGCTAACTCAGATAGCCCTACACCAATTTGAACAGGTCCTCACTGAGGACTTAAAGGGGCTATCTCTTGAGGGGGGGTGCACAATAATCCATAATATAAATGGTTAAATGTAAATAATTCATTAGTCTGTCCTTTTCCCAGCCTGAGACTCTAGTTTTGTACATTGGCTTAACTTCCTAGCAAAACTGGCTACTAAATATAAAAAAAAAAAAAAAAAAAAAAAAAATTGTCTCTGGGTCAGACTAGACAGGCACAAACCCAAATTTGTACTTTTCCTGGAAAAAGCCAAACAGCTCCAGGACCAGGCCAAGCAGGGCTGGGATTTCTGGCCTGACACCTGGTCATGGAAATCCTGGCTATTTCCTCTCCTTGGCCCACTAACTTCTGCAATCTTGATGCTTCTCTTTGCACCGTGTGTTTTTAATGCCCTTGTTCGTTTTGTCTCTAACAGACTAAAAGCTGTTAAACTCCAAATGGTCATCAGGCAAGACTTCCAGCCCATTCCACTGGACGACTTGAGCAGCCCTCTGGACCGAGCAACACAGTCTTTCCAAGGCCACTGTTGCACACCATAAGACCTTGTGTGTTAAATAGACTCATCACCTTCGTGCGGAAACAAGTTAAAAATGTTAAACTCATGATCATAAGACAACAATATGTCACATTAAAAAACACAAATAATCTCTAAGATTAGAGATCCTCACAACAAGGAGTGGGGAATGAAGAGTTAAAATTGTATATGTGCGGGTGTAAAAAGTTAAGCTTAAGCTTACAGGTTTAAACCTTCCTGGTACAGCTGTAAAAATAAGACAGAGTGAAGTAGCACCTTGACAGTAGGGACTCCATTTTGGAGCACTTGAGACTCCATTCTGAGAAAGCAACCCCCCGCCCCCACCGTGAGACTCTGGTCCAAAACTATGATCTCAAATAGTCGGACAATAGCAGTGCACTACATCACCCTTGGCAACACACAAAAACCCCCTAGCATGATTGCTCAAGCTTAAAAGTAAAAAGGTTGCACCTGGGTTACCTGGACTAATAATAAAGATATAATTTGTCTATGTCTTAAGATCATAATTGCTGATTGTAAGACTTTAGCAACCGCTTAACAACCGTGTATTCTCTTCCCCTTCCCGGTTTTGCGGTTTTTGCCTTTATAAACTCTAACCTTTGGTTATTCGGGGCTGCTCTGTTCATGATGATCAGACAGCCCCAGCATGCTGGATAATCAATAAAGCTTCCCCTTGCTGTTTGCATAAGAGATGTCTCTTGGTGACGTTTTTCGGGCAGTCGACTCTAACAATACTATTTCTTGATTGCAAGTGTGTGTGTGTACACGTTTTCTCTCATGATTGGAAACTGAGAAGTGAAATGTGTGGATGTCATATTATTCTGAACGCTGGCTCTTACATAGCAATAAAGCATTCTTTTCAGGTGTGCTGATCTTGTCTGTGACCTCCCTCAGTCCTACTTTCTTATATTATAATGTGTGGCCCTAGAGCTGAGACACCGTCTTCAGAGGTGTGCTCAGTTGGGTTTGGAATAACTTGGGGGTCTGGCCTTTCCTAACCTGAGAAAGGAGATGGAAAAAGGATACAGAGAGCGAGCTCAGCAGAGACAAGTTGCTCTATTGAAGCAAATCTCGGAAGAGACTGTGCATCTAGAGCTGAGCTGTTATCTGGTTTCGGAGGGAATTTGCCAATCCTGGGTGGGGTGGGGAGAGGTGGAAGGCAGCTGGTGGGAGAGCAGGGGCTCTTTGAAGCCTCTGGGAACTTCCCTCTCATCTGTTTCTCAAGCTGCACCGTGCAACTTATCTGTTTGCCAGTTGCATTGCAAGGAGTTCGGAAAGGTCTGGTTTGGCACCAAGGGTCTCAGCTAAAGGGAAGAAATGGGGTGGGGGAGGAGGGAATGGGCCACGTGTGGGGCAAGAAGCCCTTTTATGCTTGCTGGTCAGAAGTGTAGAGACTCAGCGTCCACCCTGATCTCCTTGTATCAGCTTCTGCATGTTAACAGCGTCTGCATTTTGATACAACCTAGATGTTAAATTCCTAAAATCTGAGATGGACCCTTATAAGTTTTTGTGATCTTTCCATCCATGAAAGCACGGAGCCTCGTGTTCCCCTGTGTGCTACACACACTTCACGGATCCATCTACTGGTGCCTTGGTCTATGTGTTGCAGTCCATTAAACGCTAGTATCTGCCCTGGTTCTGTGGACTTATGTCAACCCCATGTCATAACCATGAGTACCCGACTGAGTCACTCAGCTATGTCAATGCCCAGCCCTGCCTCTCCCACTGCATCTAGAGTCAAGAACTCTCCGCACTGCTGTTTAGTCTGCTCTGATGATGCTTTGAATTTCAGGGACATTTATGTTCAGAGCCACAGGTTTCTGTGGGAGGCACTGGGTTGCCAGGACCCTGCTCAGAGGGCTTTGTACAGGGACCTGATGCTGGAGCACCACAGGACCCTGCCTTCCCTCCCCGAATTCCTAACCCCTAGCATTCCATCTGCTTACACAGCATTTTGTGGAAGCCTCTGCTTTTCATGACTGGGTCTCAGGCCTCTGTTTTGAAGAAAAATGGAGGGATTCTAGGTGTAGAAAAGCAAAATGTCTTTTAAAGATTTACTTGATTGGGGCTGGTGCTGTGGCATAGGGAATAAAGCCACCAGCTGCAGTGCCAACATCCCATATGTGTGCGGGTTTAAGTCCCGGCTGTTCCACTTCAGATCCAGCTCTCTGCTATGGCCTGGGAAAGCTGTAGAAGCTGGCTGAAGTCCTTGGGCCCCTGCACCTGAGTAGGAGACCTGCAAGAAGCTCTTGCTCCTGGCTTCCCATTGACCCAGTTCCAGCCATTGCAGCCATTTAGAGAATGAAACAGCGATGGAGTCTCTCTCTCTCTCTCTCTCTCTCTCTCTCTCTCTCTCTCTCTCTCCCTCTCTCTCCCCCTCCGTCTCTCCCTTCCTCCCTTTCTCTGCATCTGTAACTCCAGCTTTCAAATAAGCAAATAAATACATCTTTAAAAACTGTAAATCATCTAATGATATTTCTCTGTATTGTCTGAACTCTGCTTCATTACACTTTTCTCATCAGAGCTGCTTTTGAATGGGAATGCATTTTCTCAGGCCAGTGACTCCCCTGCCTGGTCTTCACAGGTGCTCTGTCACAGTGAAGAACTGGAGCCATCTAGAGGAATTGTTCTGTAGTGGTACATGGAGGCTTATGCCTGATTTTCTGAATTAACGCTTATCTCATTCTCTGAAATCCTCTATTTGTGGGAGTTTTGTTGTTGTTGTTGTCAGGTGTTCAGTCAGGGTAGATTCCCTTACATCAGTAAGTTATCTGGATTTTTCTTTAAGGTTTATTTTATTTATTTGAAAGACAGAGTTACAGAGAGATTCAGAGATAGAGAAAGAAAGAGAGAGAGAGAGAGAGAGAGAGAGAGTGAGAGAGACAGAGACAGAGACAGAGAGAGGTCTTCCATCCACTGGTTCACTCCCCAGAAGGCTGAAACGGCCAGAGCTGCACTAATCGAAGCCAGGAGCTAGGCGTTTCTTCTGGGTCTCCCACACAGGTGCAGGGTCTCAAGGACTTGGGTCATCTTCTACTGCTTTCCCAGGCCATAGCAGAGAGCTGAATTGGAAGAGGAGCAGCCAGGACTAGACCTGGTGCCCATACGGGATGCTGGCACTTCAGGCCAGGGCTTTAACCCACTGCACCACAGCCCAGGCCCCTGGATTTTTACCTATAAGTTAAGAGTTTGATGATAGTTTTAAGCACTGCATACTTTCAGACAATGTGAGGTGAGATCAAAATACAACTCAGCCATGTGTCTATAGTCAATAAAATCAGATTTGTCTGCCTGTATACATATTGCTCTATTTTGTCATTAGTTATGTATTTATTTTCCTGTTTTTAAGGTTAATTTATTCATTTGTAAGGCAGAGTTACAGAGAGGCAGAGATAGAGAGAGAGAGAAAAGAGAGAGAGACAGGTCCTCCACCTGCTGGTTCCCTTCCCAAATGGCCACAATGGCCAGAGCTTGTTCTGAAGCCAGGAGCCAGGATCTTCCTCTGGGTCTCCCACAAAGGTGCAGGGCCCCAAGTACTTGGGCCATTCTCCACTGCCCTCCCAGGCCACAGCCGAAAGCCAGATGGGAAGTGGAGCAGCTGGGACTTAAACCGGAGCTCACATGGGATGCCGGCACTGCAGGTGGCTCCTCCACCTGCTATGGCACAGTGCCTGCCCCTGTGTATTTATTTTCTTGGTTGCTGTGCAGTCCTGTCCAGGTGAACACTCTTGCAAATTTCTTTAGTGTTTCATGGATACAGTGAGAGAGAGCCTCATGTGACTTGCAGGTTTTCTTTCAATAGTGTATAATTTTATCCCTCCCCTGGATAAGGTATTTAAATTTTGCATGGATAAAATACATAACCAAAGGTATACACTTAAATAATTTTAACTGTAGTGTTCAGCCGTAGAAAGTGGCAGGCAAAGCTGTGTGTCACGGGTGGGATCTCCAGACAATTTATTGCTGTCTAAGAATCTGCTTCAGGAGCCTGTGCTGTGGTGTAGCGGTGAAGCTGCTGTCTGCAGTGCCGGCATCCCGCATGGGCACCTATTGGAGTCCTGGCTGTGAGTCCTGAATGCACTTGGTCCAAGACCCCTCCCCCCTTCTTTCCTGGTGATAGGAAAATGAAAGCACACAGTGTGTCCCAGCTGCTAATCAGGGAGACACCCTGTTCCTCCAGGTCCCTCTCACTGCCCCAGCTTTGAATCAGGCAGCCCTGGGGACCCCCTGTGTCAGGGACTCTCTGTCTCATGGTACCTGGTATCCCCTCCAGCTGTTCTAGCCTGCATCCCTCATCTCTGTTTGGCCACTCCAACTCATCTCCCACCCATCTCCTTCCTCCCTTGACACAGTTCCCTATAAAGCCCCAGCCAAACACATGAGCCCCGAGCTCCTCCCCCTCTGAGGCTGCTCCGGACAGTTCTTCACCCTAATAAAACTCTTTCTTTGCTCAGCATGGTCTTGGTTTTCGTTCTTGGTTGTGGTTAAAAACCCTGACACCAGTTGCTCCACTTGCAATCCAGCTCTCTGCTATGGCCTGGAAAAACAGTGGAAGATGGCCCAAGTCCTTGGGCCCTGCACCATGTTGGAGACCTGGAAGAAGCTCAAGGATCCTGGCTTCAGATTTGGATAACTCCAGCCATTGAGGGCAACTGGGGAGTGAACCAGCAGATGGAAGATCTCTCTGTCTCTCTCTCTGCCTCTGCCTCTCTCTAACTCTGCCTTCCAAATAAATAAGTAAAAATAAAAAAAAATGTGACAAAAAAGGAATCTTTGCACATTTTTGGTGGGAATTCAAATTAGTTCAAGCACTGTAGAAAACAATATGGGAATTCCTCAAAAAAATAACAGTGGAGGTAGCACATGACCCATCAATCTCACAGCAGGGCATATATGTCCAGGAAATGACAATCAGCATGTTCAAGGACACCTGCACTCCCACATTCATTGCACCATCATCACTGCAGCCAAGATATGGAATCTAAGTTCCACCAATGGAAAATACAGAATGAAGAAAATGCTGTACCACCACAAAGGAAAACGAATGATGATGATTGAAAAAGAAAGATGCTATGTCATTTTCAACAACATGGATGAATCTGAAGACACTCCAGTAAGTTAGAAGAGGAAGGCACAGGAGAGGGACACATACTCCATGATCCCATATACTCTTGCTTGGGAAGTGTAAGAATTTGAATTCACAGAAGTAAAGAATAGTGGCTGTTTTACAGAGCCAATAACATTGTACTATATTCTTGGACACCTCCAAGAGAATAAATTCTAAGTGTTCTTTCCACAAAAGTATGCTAAGTAGTATATATATTAATTATCTCAGTACAGCCTTTCACAACCTATACGTATTTGAAAAAACACATTGCACATAATGATGTATATTATTCTTGAGAATCTAACATTGCAAACACTCCTCTAGTTTCCCTGTGGTTACCTCATCTCTCACCCTGTGATTACCTCATCACCGCCCCCTTGCCCGCTTGCACCTGTGAGAGTCAGTCTGCCTCCAGGTATTATGAAAATGGAAGAGATTCTTCCAAACTCTGGAAATTTCTCTGGAGGTGCTCATTACAAACTTTTAATTGTTTCTGTGAATTGGGAACTGGGAGAAGCTTGCTACTTCGTTTTGTGATCTTCTCAACTGTCATGAAAGTTCTAGTGAGGCGATAAATGTGT